TCTGCAGTTCCTATTATCTCTGGTGTCTCTTCATAACTGAATTGCACCAGCCCAGGCAATATTCTGGTGAATCTCTTCTGCACCCTCTGTAATGTGATCACACCCTTCTTATATTAGGGACACCAGAACTGCACACAGTACTCCAGCTGTAGCTTAATTAACATTATATACAGCTCCATCATAATATCCTTCTTCTTGTATCTAATGTCTTGACTAATAAAGTCAAGTATTCCATATGTTTCCTTAACCACCCTATCTAAATGTCCAACTGCTTTCAAGGATTTATGAACATGTGCACCAAGGTTCCTCTGATCATCTCTACTTCCTAGGGTCTTACCATTCAACATTGCTCCCTTGCCTTGAAGTCCTTCCAAAATACATCACCTCACATTTTTCCAGGATTAAATTTGATTTGCCATTGTTTAGCCCATCTGACCATCCACCCTGTGGTCTAAGGCTTTCCTTCTGTCACTTTACCACACCACCAATTTTCATGCTATTTTCAAACTTACTGACCATACCTCGTATTAGAAAGGCTCCCAGACAGTACTTCACTCTTTGCTACCCAAGACTGTCAGTGCACCTCGACCCATCATCTCCACCCATTCCCGGGGGGGCTGGAAAGCTGCCTGAAGGCAGCCCCACATTTAAGCGATGTCTCCCAAGAGGATCCTCCGCAGACCATCTGGGAGAGAAGGAATGTACTGTTTCTGAAGAATGGCAACAAAGGGCAAGAAACGGCAAAAAAGCATGAGCCACAAGAGAGCCTGGACTGAGCTGGCTTCAGTGATCAGCACCCATGGCAAACAGATATGAGATTGTATATAGTAAGAGGACGAATGATCTCTCGTGCACAGCCAGGGTGGTGCCACTGTCTATTCAGTGCTTCATTCCCCTTAAATGTGAGTTAACATTATAAGCTGGCCGTTGCACAGGACTAGTACATGTAAGATTGGGTGCCAGCTATCTCCATTACATGCCTTACGTGCAAACAATGTCTCTCACTGCACTGCACCTCCCCATGTTTTAATACTAGCAGCACAGTGCCACTGTTCCCCTCCCACCTGTCAGATTCACACTTAAAACTGAAAAGGATCTACAACACTCATCAGCTGACACACCACCTACTCATTGGCCTTTCAACACACTAGAAGATTGTACACATCACATTGCTTGTATGGGACAAGGACATACCACAAAATGTGGCTTCAGAATAAACACCTCACACAATTACCAGGCATCATGTAAAGCTTTATTGATCCCAGTGAATTCTAGCTATTTGACCACATTCAACCATCTTCCATTCAGAATCCTTTAACTCTTACCATCACCCTGACTGCATTCTTCTTAATAATAATGCATAACACAGCTCAAGGGATTGACCCTTTTATCTGTATTTGTCAATGCAGGCACAGTGTTTATATACCAAAGCTAATTCTTTCACCTTCTACAAGAGAAGAACCATGGTTGCAGTTGAGAAAGCAAGTAATCCGATACTCTTGGCAGGCATTGTAGGCAAGTTCGGATTGCAGATGATTCTGGAGTTGGATGCTGCTTTTTTTGGCAACAAGAAGTTGATTGGTCTGTGGACTAGTGACAGTTACAAAGGATAGTGACAATTTGCTTGCCAATAACTGCATAATTGGTTTTCAGGTGGCTGAGCAGCATAGAGCTGGAAACAAGTTACCGGGACAGAGACAGAGAGAGCATGAGCGGAAAAAACTTACCCTTCCTGCAGCAGTTTACTGTGAGCTGTCATTTTTGAATTGATAAATCAGAGGTATTTTCCAAGTGCATCAGTCACCCTGTACTTCTTACAAACCAGTGGAAGCTTTCAGAGAAAGATATCTGAACAACAAGAGGTCTGACCTATCAAAAAGGGACCAGCTTATCATCAGAACCAGGAAACAAAGACCACTAAACTGAATTCCCACTTTTTCTATCTTCTCCATTAATTGAATTTATCTATTTTTATGTCTCTGTGTGTATATATATAAAGGGGGAGTTCATAAGGGAATTTGAGTTTTAGTTAGTTGTGTTATCTGCCATTAGTTTATATTTGTTTACCTGTATAGTAAATAATAATTCTTGTTCAGTACAGAAACCTTGCTGATGCTTTCTATCAACCTTGGTTTGAAAGTCAGGTGAATTGGCTTACTTTAAAAATACCTTTACCATTTAGTACGACTCTTGGAATAGTGGGGTTTGATTTCCAATGCACTGCCCCAGTAGGTTGTTACAGTGTGTTGAAGGGGAGATTGGATATGGCTCACCATGTGGTGAAAACCTCTCAAAATATCTAATACCAACTGCTCATCAGGTGTCAATGTTGTAATGGAACTTTGGGTAAGGATGGCACATCACAGCACAAACAAAACGTTTTGTTTATCTCTGCAGCTACCACGACACAGACCCAAGCAAGGGCCAAAAAAAAAAATCCCCAGGTCCCAAGCCCATCTCTCCCCAACACCCTACAGAAGACACCATTGAGGAGGAACAGCCAGGACCCTCAGAGAATGAACTGTCAAAGCATTCTAGAACCCGACCTTCACCAATGCAGAGACATCTACCTCAGTGAATAACCTAGCTAAAGTAGGCTTGGGGTCACATTCTGGATAAGTACACTGACATTGGCCTGAACATAGAGGTGGAAGAATTGGCTCTGACACTTAGAGGACTCATGGCGAACAGACCCCTGCTGAGCTCAGTACTGATGATGAGTCTTTGGACTCAGCCATTAATGAGATGATGGAAATGCAGGGGCAAACAGGGGAACAGCTGGCAGAAGTGCCAGAGATCATGCACAGACTGGAGTGATGGGCAGAGGAGACTCCTATGCTCACGTTCCATCTGATTTTGTAAATCTGGCATGGAAATGTATTGCTGCCTCAGTAGAGCAGCGCAGCAGCAGCACAGAGGCAGGTTCAGCAAAACAGTCAGTATCTGCTGGACAGATGATTGGACTTTGCTCCAATGCTTGAATGCATTCACTGGCTCAGTGGGAAGGGACAAAATACTCTTAACCTCCATCCAGGTTCCCCAGCACCTGAATGGGAGACGGAGGTGTCATTGCAACTAAAAGAGAGGAAAAATAACAGACAGGTCACTCCCACACCACTTTCCCTCCGCTCTGCACCCAAATGCCTCCACCAGCTTAGGGGTTTGCACTTGTACCTGTGCAGGTGACCCCCCCAAGTGGGTCAGAACCCTCTAGACTGCCAGTCACCACAGGATGTTTGCCAATGTCATCTGAGGCAAAGCACTCATCAGGCTTCCTCAAGCTCAGCTGTTCTTACAAAGGTGGCACCACTTCATGATGGAAGGTATAGAGAGATTATAGTGTATTCATGCCTCCTTGGATGCATGGCTGTTGACTTTCAGTACAACACTACACTGGAAACAAATATAACACTTTTATTTATGTTCCTGTGGTTTCATCCAATCTATTAAGACTTGTAACTGTATATCTTTTCATTGTAGACTATTTTGAGGTGCCTATTTGACCCCACATTCTCATATGCATATCAGGTTTAATGTTGCAAAGAGCTCTGAGACTCTACCTTACAGTTGCCAGCTGGCAGTGCCCTAACATTTGGCAGGTGAGTATAAAAACTCTACAGTTATGCTTTAAAAGTCAATCAGCGTTTCTTTATTCTGTGAATAACCTTTGTAACCTAGGCATTATCTCTACCATGTGTGGCTGCCATGTAAGCCTGCAGAACTCCATATTGAGGACTCGGCCAACAAACTAAAAATATGTTTATTCATACAAAAGGAGCAAAATGAATGACAAATGGATTATCGTAATCGTTCACCATTTTGAGAGAACGATGGGAGTAACATCGCATGGGTCACTGTTGCATATAACATTCAAGTGCCCATAAATATCCACACAATGCCATTTGTTCTCAAATCTAGTCACTATTAGGGTATCACAGGCCTGTTACCTTGTTTCCACACTGCACTGGCTTTCTCAGCATCAGTATGGGCTGCCTAAGCATCTCCATCAGACTCTCCTTCTTCCTCATCTGAGGAGAGATCTGCCCCTCTTTCTAAGTTCTCTGAAGAGCTAGGCCAGGGAATGCACAACATCCTGGAGACTCTTCCTGGCCAGTACAGAAGTGATCCTCCTGAAGGATCTAGGAATCCTTCCAATGCCTTTGATGCCCACAGCTTTTAAGTTGCTTTCCCTTTCCTTTGCACTCAGCCCACCTTTCTGTGAACATTTTAAAAATAAAATGGTTGTCCTTATTAGGTTGCACCATCATTTTTGATTAATATCCTTTTAAGTTAAGGCATGCTTACCTGTCCTAGTCAGATTTGTTTTACTGAGTCAGTAGAGCTTCCAGGATTGGGCCCCATCAGCCTTCACCCTATGCCTGCAATAATCCCATCAGGAGCGTGATGGCCCATGAATTTGTCCTCTTTTGAGCTGGTGAACAAGGAGAGCCTTCACCACTGAACAACAAATGAATGGATCCTTCTGATGATCAGCTAAACATGGAGAGTGTTCTGTCCCAACACTGGAAGGGGCTGTGCAATGAAACGCCTTGCTTCTGAAAGTGTCAAGTAATGGATTAATCAGAGCTAGGAGGATGTAGCCCTACCGTGTGCACACTCCTCTTGTCTTTACAGTTGGATTTGTGGATACGCATATTTCCCCTTAATGCCAGGCTGATTATGCCTGTGAATGGAATCCTGGTGAGCTAGGGTGTTCATGAATGTTCATGACCTTCCGATTAAGGCTTAACAGGTAAAGTTTGGGAAACCTGACTCACGTGGACCAGGCTGAGAACATCAAATGTCTGACCCGCCATTGGGAAAAGTACATTTTGCCTATTGCCCACCTTTGTAAAACCTCTGGGTGGGCCTTGAAAAATTGCGCTCATTAATTTTTTAAACACGTGAGCATTTTAATATTGATAGCAAACTATGTATTGAGATGAGTTTGGTGACAACTCTTCATAACCAGTGGAAGAGCACAGTTTGGAGACATTCTAAAGGACTAATTCATGCCACCCTGTAAATATCATTCACCTGTTGTAGACACAGTAAATATATTAAAATACATTGTAGTAGGTTGATACAGCAGCTACTAGGCAGTGCAGTTTTTGTGTTTGCTTTACCTGTATTGGATCACCAGACATGATAATCTATAAAAGTCCCAGCATTTATGGAGAGGCAGGAAGGAGGAGGTGATGGTGATGAGGGGCAAGTAAGGGAGAGGGAGACTCAATCAACATGGTGCGGAGTATTGGGAAGGTCAGCATTGCAGCTGTTTTGGATCTTGAGATGTGGGAGTGAGAAGTTAGGACGCTGTGGAGATGGCAAGAAGGGGAATATCAAGGACTGCGGAAGGCCACAATCTGTGGGAGAGGGAGGAGGTAGCTGAAGGTTTTCTCAACAAACCATATTTAAAAAGGCATTTAGCATCTGGAACCAGGGCTCCTGCTTCCCCTTCATTGTACATTTCCCTTTCCTCTAGGACACCGGTAGAGAAGCAAAGAATTTTAATTCAGGCTTCCAACTGCACAGTGCCAATGACCCAGAAATTCCCTGCCATGACGCAGTACTCAGACACTCTGGTGTTTACCAACACCAAACAACACACACTGTGAGTCCGAATCCCTTTATTCACATTTGACAGTTTAATGGTGCTTCCTCTCAAACCTCTAATCTCTCCGAATCATCATTGCAGTGGTGGGGTGGGGATGGAGTCAACAGGCAAAGAAGAGTCAGCACATAGAATAATGAGGAGTGAAGGTATTCATTCAGTAAGGAGTGATTGGATGAGCAGAGAGATCTCGGTGTCCATGTGCATAGTTCACTGAAGTTGCCACCCAGGTTGATAGCGTTGTTAAGAAGGCGTATGGTGTGTTAGGTTTTATTGGTAGAGGGATTGAGTTTCGGAGCCATGAGGTCATGTTGCAGCTGTACAAAACTCTGGTGCGGCCGCACTTGGAGTATTGCGTACAGTTCTGGTCACCGCATTATAGGAAGGATGTGGAAGCATTGGAAAGGGTGCAGAGGAGATTTACCAGGATGTTGCCTGGTATGGAGGGAAGGTCTTATGAGGAACGGCTGAGGGACTTGAGGCTGTTTTCGTTAGAGAGAAGAAGGTTAAGAGGTGACTTAATAGAGACATACAAGATGATCAGAGGATTAGATAGGGTGGACAGTGGGAGCCTTTTTCCTCGGATGGTGATGGCTAGCACGAGGGGACATAGCTTTAAATTGATGGGTGATAGATATAGGACAGATGTCAGAGGTATGTTCTTTACTGAGAGAGTAGTAAGGGCATGGAATGCCCTGCCTGCAAAAGTAGTAAACTCGCCAACTTTAAGGGCATTTAAATGGTCATTGGATAAACATATGGATGATAATGGAATAGTGTAGGTTAGATGGGCTTCAGATTGGTTTCACAGGTCGGCGCAACATCGAGGGCCGAAGGGCCTGTACTGCGCTGTAATGTTCTATGTTCTATGCAATGAGGAGTGAAAGCACACCGAGCACAAATTAGTCACAATACACGGAGCAGTAAGGAGTGACAGTGCACTGTGCAGTAAGGAGTGACAGCGCACTGTGCAGTAAGGAGTGACAGCGCACTGTGCAGTAAGGAGTGACTGTACATTGTGCAGTAAGGAGTGACAGTACACTGTGTAGTAAGGAGTGACAGCGCACTGTGCAGTAAGGAGTGACAGCGCACTGTGCAGTAAGGAGTGACTGTACATTGTGCAGTAAGGAGTGACAGTACACTGTGCAGTAAGGACTGACTGTATGCTGTATAGTAAGGAGTGACAGTACACTGTGCAGTAAGGAGTGACTGTACATTGTGTAGTAAGGAGTGACAGTACACTGTGCGATAAGGAGTGACAGTGCACTGTGCAGTAAGGAGTGACAATATACTGTGGCAGTAAGGAGTGAAAGTGCACTGCATTTTCTGAATGGTATTCCACTGTGAAGTATGAAGTCACAATACACTGAGCACTATAAAAGGTAATTCTAGAAAATAAAGCATGGTCCTGCCCATGTTACACACGTGCCAAAAAAAAACTCACCGGCATCTGTATATAATCATTTAATCAGTCTTTATTGTAGGACCTGTCACTGTAAACACGCTAAACTTTAATTATATCCTTTTGCAGCTGAAAGGTTTCATTTAAGTGTGGATGTAGAAATTTAAAATGGACAGGATGCACTACTTTGAAAGAAGGGCTGTATTATGCTTGAGAGTATTAGTCCTTTGGCCAACTATAATTCTGCTTACATTGATGACTCCACTTGGTCTTAACTTGCCTAAGCAATGTCAAAGAAGATCAACTAGTGCTTAAATAAATAAAACTTATGACTCATGAAACTTTTCTGAGCACTTTCTCTGAGAGATGAATTCTGTGAACTGTTCTGCCACCACTCCCACCTCATGGGACCTATTCTCCCGCCTCCCCGGTGAGGTTTCCTATTTCCTGCTAATGCTTTCTAAAATGATTTTTCTGCCATAGCTTGTTTTTTAGTCTTTCCTACCTACCGTTGGCAAGTTGCCACTGAACATTGTTCTTGCTTTGGAGAATGACTGCTAGCTGGTTCTGTTATGCCCTTCACATTTCTACCACTGGATGGAGCTTCACAAGCAAGCTGCAGATCTCCATATCTGTACCTACAATGTCATTAGTGCATTATAAGGTCAGAAGCAATGAGTCTGCTGATGATTGCACAATGTTCAGCATTGTTCATGATTCCTCAGATACTGAAGCAGCCCATGTACAAATGCAGCAGGTTTGGGCTGAAAAGTAGCAAGTAACATACACGACACACCAATGCCAAACGATGACCACATCCTGTAGACAGAACCTAATCACCGTCTCTTGATTTCAATGGAATTACCATTACTGAATGCCCCATTACCAACATCCTGGAGTCACCTTTGACCAGAACTCAACTGGACTAGCCATATAAATAGTGATTACAAGAGTAGGTTGGAGGCTGGAAATACTGTGGTGAGTAATTCATCTCCTGACTCTCCAAAGCCTGTCCATCAATGACAAGGCACAAGTCAGGACTCTGATGAAATACTCCCCACTTGCCTGGATGAGTGTAGCTTCAACAACACTGAAGATGTTTGACACTATCCAGGACAAAGCAACCTGCTTGACTGGGACAACATCCCTAAAAGCTCACTCCCTCCACGACTGATGCTAAGTTGCAGAAATCTGTACCTTCAACATGATGCACTGCAGAAATTCACCAAGGTTGTTAGATAGCACCTTCCAAATCTACAAGAAGGACAAGGACAGCAGATACCATCCCTCCAAGCCACTCACCATCCTGACTTGGAAATATATCACTGTTCCTTCAGCGTTGCTGGGTCAAAATCCTGGCACTCCCTCCCTTCCCAGTGAAATTTTGTGTGTTTCTGCACCAAATTGACTGCAGAGGATCAACAGGGCATCTCATCACCACCTCCTTCAGAGCAACTAGAGGGGCACAGAATGCTGGCCCAATCATTAACACCCACATCCCATGAAAGAATAAAAAAATTTAAGCACAACTAGTTTTTTCTAAAATCCATGGGGCATTAATACTTTAATAAATTTGTGTCCTGAACATTATGAAACATCATAAAGGCATTTACCTTTCCTTCAGAACCTTTTACAGTTGAGCCCACAGAATCAGCGTGTTTCTCATCCTCTTTGACTGACTGTAATCATAGAAACAAAGTACTATTACTTTATGAAGGCATACTGAAATATGCAACCAATTGCTTACTATCCATTCTATAAATGTCTTAATGATGCCACTGAGTTCAAGATCAACAGCAGCAATAAACATCATATCACCTCAGAATAGATAACTTGATCCTGGCTTTTCCTGTTTGCTCTGACCTGCTCTATTCCTTTTAGAACAGTTGCTTTCAGCATTAATCAATTTTTCCCTCCACTGAGGATGTTTGTTGATGTTGTAATATGCTGAACTGAAAGAGCTTCTGGAAACGGTGTGAAGTGCTGGTATTTATCACAAACAACAGACAAAAGAATACTATTAAAATGATTCATATGCATTTTGAAAATTAAACAAAAAATGCAAAAATTACACAGACTATTAGTGTGCATCCACGATTGGAAAAGACAGGTTATGTCATTTTGTTTTCAAGCTTGCCATCAAAATTACATGTTGTTCTTTCAAATCTTTAATATTTGTTATATTTTATCTTTCGAAATTACTGCATGTATTTGTTTTGCTCTGTGATCGTCAGTCCTTAATTCATTTTAAAGGACAGCAATCACAGGTTATCAAATGTAGGAGCTGGTAACTCGCCTTTTTTAAAGTCTAGATTGATCTTTGTTTTACCATCAATGGAGGAAAGAGCATTGGTAATGATACAATACCCTCCAATGTTACGGCCAACAATTAAACTTATCTACACATATTTTCAGAAAGGAAAATCACAATACAGGTCAGTACTTTATTAACTGCTTCTCATAATAACTTTTCTGTGCATTTTACCCAATTGGTAACGTATCTGAATCTGTTGCCATCATTAGCTCATCTGTTGTACACCCTTGAGCCTTCCAGTGGGAATCACGATCTGGTGCTGGTTGATAATGTCTTTTTTTTCTCATAGAGAATTTCATAAACGTTTTGAGAAAATGCCAGAGGCAAGGTTCCAACTCAAATTAATCTATTTTTAATGTTTCCTAGCCTAATTTGCCATTCTTGTTATATAGTACATTTTTGGCTGGCTAAAAAATTATATAGTTTGCACTGCTTAATAAGATTGTGCCTGTTACACACTAGATTATTAACAAGTATGTCAACATCAATGATACAAATTCTTGGTCTAAATTGAAACATGACTTAATTTGTGCCATATGGTATTTGACGTGGCCTTAAACAACACTAACTACATTCTACTAAGGTCATGACTTATGAGTGTTTCTAATGAAGTAACACTGAATATCTGTAATTGATTATTACTTGCAGCCATCACATTTTCAATCAATATTGCTTCTAACAAGCACCATTTGTAAATGAAGAATATTCTTTAATGACTCACAGGACTGAATAAATTGTTAAAAACCATAAAGTTGTTGTAAAGATCTTTGTTTATAAAGCCAGTAGAATCTTTTCACAAATGCATTTTCAGCAATTCATCATTTAGACAATCTCCGAAATTCCACAAAAATTTGCTGAATGCAAACAAAAGCATTCAGAAGCATTAAACATGCTTTGAGCAAAAAAAAAAAAAAATTCCCTTGACAAACAGAAGTAAATCCCAAGGTTCAGAGTTGAGTACACTTTTGTTTTTGGTCATTATAAATGATTTGCTCTTGACAGTGCAAATTTTAAATTAACTGTTGACACAACAGTAGAAATTTTCGCAAACATTGAGGAGAACCATAAATAATTCCAGAACATAAATAGGAGGGTAGATTAAAAAGACAGATGGCAGGTACAATGAAATGTGAATAATTGTGAGGTAATGCACTTTGGGAGAGAAAAAAATTACAATGCAACGATAGTGAATTTAAGAAAGAACAAAGAGACTCAGCAATTCCAATACTGAGTAGCTGATGTAGACAGCACTGCATCGTTTTTGGAAAGAATGAATGAACATTCAAAAGCATGAAGATATATGGCTATGAGGACAGAACAGGGCAGTGGGATTAGTTTCAGATTGCTCTAACTAACAGCCTACATAATGGGTTGAATGGCTCCTTATATACTGTAAAATTCTATGGTCCTATTATTAACATACCATTTCTTTGTTAGTATTGTCATTGAGTATGTGACCCTAACTGTGTGCTGCTGCTCAGTTTCAAAGGGAGCCCAGTTTTCACTGCCAACGTAATCTGGCAGCCACAGTTAAAGAGAGAGACTGCAAAGTTCAGGGGCATAGCAGTTTGTCTTTCACTGCCTTGATGCCATTCCGCCTCTAAAATGGCAGTGCATCAGATGTGCTTTGACAGCGACATTCACGCCACAAAAGTGCCAGGCAATCATGGTCCCCAACAGGAACGAAACTAACCATCGACCTTTGACATTTGTTTCCATCACTGAATCCCCTGCTATTAATATCCAGGGACTGTCACTGACCGGAAACTGAACTGGACTAGCCATATAAATACAATTACACTAAGAGCAGGACAGAGACTAGGAACTCACCTCCTTACTCGCTGTGCACTATCTGTCAGGTATGAATTTGGATTTTGATGGAATAATCTCCACATATCTAAGAGCTACTGAAAGCTGAAAGGATAACTCCTTTAAGGAGTTCCCTGCAACCGCAGGAAGTGCTACACCTGCCCCCATACCTCCTCCCTCACCCCCATCCCAGGCCCCAAGAAGACCTTCCACATCAAGCAGATGTTCACCTGCACATCTGCTAATGTGGTATACTGCATCCACTGTTCCCGTTGTGGCCTCCTCTACATCGGGAAAACCAAGCGGAGGCCTGGGGACCGCTTTGCAGAACACCTACGCTCGGTTCGCACTAAACAACTGCACCTCCCAGTCGCGAACCATTTCAACTCCCCCTCCCATTTCGCAGATGACATGTCCATCCTGGGCCTCCTGCAGTGCCACAACAATGCTACCCGAAGGTTGCAGGAACAGCAACTCATATTCCGCTTGGGAACCCTGCAGCCCAATGTGGACTTCACAAGCTTCAAAATCTCCCCTCCCCCTACTGCATCCCAAAACCAGTCCAGCTCGTCCCCGCCTCCCTAACCTGTCCTTCCTCCCACCTATCCCCTCTTCCCACCTCAAGCCCCACCCCTATCTCCTACTTACTAACCTCATCCCGCCCCCTTGACCTGTCCGTCCTCCCTGGACTGACCTATCTCCTACCTACCTCCCCACCTACGCTCACCTTTACTGGCTCCATCCCCGCCTCTTTGACCTGTCTGTCTCTTCTCCACCTATCTTCTCCGCTATCCATCTTCTATCTGCCTCCCCCTCTCTCCCTATTTAGTTCAGAACCCCCTTCCCCTCCCCCATTTCTGAAGAAGGGTCTAGGCCCGAAACGTCAGCCTTCCTGCTCCTCTGATGCTGCTTGGCCTGCTGTATTCATCCAGCTCTACACCTTGTTATCTCAGATTCTCCAGCATCTGCAGTTCCTACTATCTCAGGATAACTCCTTTAATAGTCATCAGACATTTGACCAAATGCAGCAAATAAAAAGGGTCAATTAGTTATATCCTGTCAGTCTTTGACAAACCACAATGTAGTTGCAATGTTCAACTCTATTTGCTGATCACATGGAAAATAACTCCAAAACATAGCCCATGCAAATGTGGGCAGAATACTGATACCCAAAGTCATGCAATGTGATTGAGCAAAAAAACTGGGAAGCTTAAGCAATGCTTTTACCATTAAGGTTTAGAGCACCAGACTACACCATGCGTAGACTCACAAATGCTGTTAGAAGTATGTGTTACCACAACAGCTCAGATTTCTTCGAGCGCAGTTGGCAGAATGGCTTGTGTTGATCAGATTGGTGCCAACAACATGGGGCTTGATTTCGATTACAGCTGGTGTAGATTTGAGATCTGGCTCCTTGTCTTCTGCATAAGACTATCACCTTCTCAAGGGCAATTAGGGGCAGGCAATAAATGATGGCTAGCCAACAATGATCACATCCTACAAGTGAACAAGTAAAATAGAGGTTGTAGTGCTCTGGGTTAGACCTGCTTTTGGGCAGAGAACTGAAGAAGATGAAGATTGGAATCTGAGTAGCTGAATTGGTACAATATGAGACTTTTAATCTGAGGGCCACTTGAATGACAGCTGGACCTCGAGTTGGGTACGAGATGGTCAGTGAAGGCAGCAGCAGGTAAACTCCATGAAGGGGCAGGCGGTTGAATGGTGGTTTACTGGGGGAAGGGTGAAACATCAAGGGGGTGGGTGTGATGGAGGTTTACTGGGGCAGGGTACCATCGAGTGGAATGCAGAGCAGGCTGGGGTAGATTTGGAGAGACCTGTTACAGACCTAGGGATAGAAGGACAGGCTGCAGGCCTGGTAGTAGCGGAAACTTGAAGCCTGAAAAGTAATGTTGGGTGCCTCAGTGGGACAGTGTGGGGATGGAAGGAAATGAGAGTTTGAAGGCTTGTGCGGCAGGGGTAGGTCAGAGGATCCTGATGAGTGATTGAGGGCGTTAGGCACCTGCTGTTGGTGGTTTGAGTCTAGGCGCCTCATGGTGCAAGCGAGACCTCAAGGTGAAAGTATTTAGGAAGTAAACGATAGCAGAGGTTACTCTGGAAGGCACGTGGACTGAGTGGTAGGTGTGCATTGTCCTCTTCTTACTAAAGGTGCTGGCTGGCCAGACATTTGGAATACCCAGCTGGCAGCAGTTAAAGGTGACAATCTGATTGAGAATGAAGCTTGCAACATCATTGTCATGAACTAAGTTGGAAACAATGTCCTTGAACGAGTTAGATTAAACTGTCTATTGCATCTCCTTTCTGGTGTTAAAGATGAAAAAGGGGGGATTTGAAGGTCAGTTTGGGTCAAGAAATAAGCTTTTCAGGCATCAGCAATCCTGCATGTGACCCATTTAGGTTGAAATGCAGCCCAATATTTCAGTACTGGAGGGAATATATTCAAGAAGGTGCACAAAGAAATGCATTTACCGTCTGTTTGAAGAAGTTCAAGAAGCCTTTTTTAGCTGGTTTAATCTCCTCTTCTCCAGATTTTAATTTCTGTGCAGATTCAGGGCATGCATCTTCCTGTTTTGACATTCGTTTTTGCAACTGGGATGTGTTTTTATCAGATTTTTCAGCAGGTGCAGTATCTTGTTCGTCCTAGATAATAAATAATAATATTAATTGGTGAAATTTATAATGACATACAGATTTTAACAAAAAGAACATTATCAATCCACAGTATATGCACAAAAAGGACTAATCCAGTTGTGCTTCTGGGTCCTAGATCCAAGGTGAATTACTTTAGATCTAAGTTCCTACAATGAGTACATATCATTGATACCAACATTTTACAAACCATCTGGATGATAACAGCATAGATAGTTAACATGCATTGTTTTAAAATTAATTACATTGTCAATAAAAAGTCAATAAACAATATTCAGAAATATCACTTCAATTTACCATTGTATTTGTTGGTGCAATGCCGACAGCCCAATCGATAATGTGCAAGAGTTGCTTTTTAGCTATACTTCCTGGATTGTACTAAAGTACTTAACTAAGTCAGATAAATATGGGCTACAATAACTGGTCTCGTAACCTGGACAAGAGATGAGAGGAGTGAATGTTATCAAGTGGGTTCTGAAATAATTCCACACAGGTCGATATCCCATTACAAATTTGGCCTTTATTTGCAGGTGCATAATGCTTGACACTGCTCCAGCTTCCTCACAGCCTGTTCTGAGTGAACAGAAGTTCTGACACTCCTGCTAATATCAGTCAGCCAGGGCTCCCTGATTAACAGCCCCAATCAGGGAACTCATATTCTATGGGTCCACCTAGCTGACCTCGTTACAATCATACAGTTTCTACTAAAACATTAATATGCAAGGGCTGGCTTTCAATGATTAAACACTCTATAAAATAATCCATTAACAATTACTTCTCATTGCCTTTCACCAGTGTTCTTCAACACCTTTCTCCTTTCTCTTGTCCGAAAAACACTGACTCCTTGTTTGCAGTTTCACACCTGCTGCTTTTCCTTTTCCTAACTAGCCATTATTCATACATCCACCTTGATAATGATTGATATTAAGATATTCAGCATGGGGACTTCTTGATGGAACCCAAGCTCATCCTTCCACATAGCTACTATTCCAACAATGGAGTTTTTTAAAATTCCTGGTGCAGGAGTGCTGAGGCCATTTCTACGACTGCCCTGTTGCTATCGGTAATTTGGCTTAACTATACATAGCAGTGAAGGATGACCTCTTAGATGAGGTACGAAAAAGCCAGCAGGTAGCAGTGGAACTATTCCTTATATGATCATCACTTTTGTGAACTGGCAATGGAAAATGCTTTTTTAAAAAGCCACAAAATAGGTATTTTTACAATCCACAAACGTACTGATAACTTTAAACAAGATATTTGAATTCTTATTGACCGAGTAAGAAGGATCACATGACAAGATTTCAGGTTATATGACTTCCACTGCAACAAAAGAATGAGAAACAATAATGCCTAAACATGATTTAAGATAACGAACAGTCTAATAAACTGGAGAAAAGATACCTCCAACTTCTTAAACATAACGAAAAGTTGCACTTCACAAGGCTGGTCTCTGAAGAATTGTCCATATTAGTCCAATATGACTCTCGGCTTTCAACATGTTTACTTTTTCCCAAACAAATATCAAAAGATGGTTCTCTCAGTTTCTCTAAAATCCTGAAAAGAATACTGTACTAGCAATAATGTCCACTCTGGCAATTTTTTCCCCACTGACCACATGAGGGAGAACCTTGTCGACCCCTTAGATTACCATTAGATTCATACCTTCAACTAAAAATCATCTCTCCCTGCCCCTGCAGTCTGCCTGGTTGTCTATAAAAAGGACACACTCACATCCTCTGCAGACCACAGCAGCTATAGCTCTTAGTTTCTCCGTGAGATCTCTTCTTCTCTCTCTGGCAAAGATCTTGGAGATAGACAGTTTTCCCTCATGCAGCCCCAGTTGTTCTTGCTTTTGTTCCACATATGAACCTTCTGCACTTTGCTCTTGGTAGCACTGAACCCTGTTCTACTGGGCCCAAGGTATTTTTCTCATTCATTCATAGGATGAGGATGTTGATAGCTGGGCTAGCATTTATTGCCCATCCCTACGTGCCCAGAGAATTGTTAAGAGTGACACGTAGGCCATACCAGGTAATGATGCCAGTTTTCCTCCTTAAAGGATATTAGTGAACAAGATGGCTTTTTCCAAAAATTGACAATGGATTCATGGTCATCATTAGATTATTTTTCTCATTGAATTGAAATTCCACCATCTGCCACCGCAGGTTTTGAAACTGTGTTCCCAAAACATTACCTGGGTGTCAGGATTAACAAGGTCAGAAATCACACGACACCAGGTTATAGTCCAACAGGTTTATTTGAAAACACAAGCTTTCTAGTTTTACTCCTTCTTCAGGTGAGGGAGATAGTATCAGACACAGAATTTATAAGTAAAAGATCAAAGGGTCACACCTTTCATGAGAATGTACTAAATAAACCTAAGATGCTGTTAAATCTTTAATCAGTTAGAAGGTTTTACTGATTAATATATATATGTAAATCCTTGAATTCCTTTGAAGTCATTGTCCTGAGACAACTAAAGATTTTATCAGTGTAAAGAAGAGATGACATTTTAGGTCAGACAATGCATGTTAGGTGTGAGGCCTTGTTTAGAATCTGTTTGTGTTTCGATTTGGAGTCAGACTGGTTTTTTTTCTAAAGTAGGAATTTATAAAAAACCACATTTGACTGACTGTCTATAAATTGTGTGCTTTTTTGACTCCAAACCTGAAGAACGAACCCAGTTCAGTACCAGCACCTCCACGTCAGGATTAACAGTCAGCAATGATACCACGAGGCCAGTGCATCATCTGACCCTTCGATACCCCATTGGACATTGCACTATATAGACTGTCCCAAAACATAATAATCTTACAAAACCTCATGTTCATAACGGCATTATATAAATAGCTTTTCTTTACTCATTCATAGGTGGCTTTAGATTTTAGATTTTGATTTAGATTTAGATTTTTACGTTTAGTTATGTCTGGTTAGGCCAGCATTTATAATGCACAGGGCAGTTAAGACTAAACCACGTTACCATATGTTCCCAGAATATTAGACTGGAGTTCTGCATTGTTTCTCTATTGATATTATGACTACACCAGCATCTCCCCAGATTAATTAGAGTTTTTGTTTTGTTCACTCATGGGCATTACTGGTTGGGCCAGCATTTATTGCCATTCCTTAGCTGTCCTTGAGAATGTGGTAGTGAGCTGCTTTCTCGAACTGCTGCAATCTATCTGTTGTGGGGAAACCCACAAAATCATTAGGGATGGAATTCCAAGATACAGATAAAGTGATACTGAAGAAACAGGGATATATTTCGGATTAAAGATGATAAGTAGCTTGGAGTGAAACTTGTTGATGGTGATGTTTCCATGTATGTGCTGTTTTTTCGATGGTCATTAGGAATGGATTAGGAAGGTAGTGTCTAAGAAGCCTTGGAAAATTTCTGCATTGCATCTTGTAGATGCTACACATTGCTGCTTTTGAGCATCAGTGGTGGAGGGGGTAAATGTTTGTGATTGAGGTGCCTATTAAGTGGGCTGCTTTTTCTGGATGGTGTCAAACTTCTTGTGCTGTTGGAGTTGCATGCCAGGCATATGAAGACTATTTCATCACACGCTGGCTTTTTTCTTGTGGATGGTGGACAGGCTTTGGTGAAGTGGGGGTGAGCTACTCATTGAAGAATCCCAAGCCTCTGACTGCTCTTGTAGCCACTGTATTTATATGGCTACTCTAGTTCAATTTCTGGTCAGTAGTAATTCCCAGGATGATGATAGTGGGGAATTCAGAGATGGTAATGTCATTGATCATTGAGGTGATGGTTAGAGTCTCTTTTGTTGGATAGAGATGGTCATTATCTGGCACTTTTGCAACGTGCATGTTACTTACCGCTTGTCAGTCAAAATCTGGATATTGTCTAGTCTTGCTGCATTTGGACATGGACTGCTTCAATATCTGAGGAGCTGTGAATGGTGCTGCACATTGTGCAAAGATCAGCAAACATTCTCACCACTGTTCCCTCTAAACTGTGTAGCTGTGTGTGCATGCAGCTACTCCAATGTTCCACGCACTGCAATTGAGGTTAGCATACCTGTCACACATTGACTTTCAGGTTCAGAAATTTCTGCCAAGTATAGGCCTTGGAGGCCTGTGTGACTGGTAAGAAAGTATAGGGAACGCTGTTTCCTACTTTGGATCTTCTGATGGATGCAAGGTGATTGATGAAGCAGCTGAAGATGGTTGAGTTTAGGACACTTCTCTGAGGAACTCCTGCAGAAGTGTCCCGTAGCTGAGTTGACTGACCTCCAACAACTACAACCACCTGCTTTTGCGCAGGTATGACTCCAATCAGTGGAGGGTTTTCCTCATGATTATCACTGATTGCAATTTTGCTAAGGATCCACAACTAGTCAAATGTGGCCTTGATGTCAATGGCAGTTGCTCTCACCTCAGCTCTGGAATTCAGCTCTTTTGTCCACCTGTGAACGAAGGCTGTAATGTGGTCTGGAGCTGAGTGATCCTGGCAGGACCCAAACTGAGTGTCACTGAGCAGGTTATTGCTGAGCAGGTGCTGCTTGATAGCACTGTTGATGACACCTTCCATCACTTTACTGATAATCGAGAGTAGACTGATGGGACAGTAATTTGCCAGGTTGGATTTGTCCTGACTTTTATTTGTGGACAAATCTGGCCAATTTTCCACATTATCAAGGAGATGCCAGTCTCACAACTATACTAGAACATCTTGGCTTGTAGTATGGCAAGTTCTGGAGCAGTAGGCTTCAGGAGAGTTGTCAGAAGGTTGTCAAGTCACACAGCCTTTGCTGTATCCAGTACCTCCAGCCTTTTTTTGATATCATGCGAATCAAAATGAATCAAATTGCCTGAAGAGTGGCATCTGTGATGCTGGCATGAGGAGGGTGAAATAGATCATTGTACTTTTGGCTAAGGATTGTTACAAGTGCTTCATCCATTTGCATAAATGAGCTGGGCTCCTCCATTACTAAGGATGGGGCTATTTGTGGAGCATCCTCCTCCAATAGATTGTTTAGCTGCCCGCCACCATTCATAACTACTTGTGGCAGGACTACAGAGCCTTAGATCTGATCCATTGGTTGTAGAATCACTTAGCTGTGTCTCTCACTTGCTCTTTACTCTGTTTGGTACACAAGTAGTCCCGTTTTGTAGCTTCACCAGGTTCGGTATGATTTTCAGTATGCTTGGTACAGATTCTGGCATACTCTCCTGCATTCTTCATTAGAGAAACCACCACTGAAAGATACTAATTAAGCTGTTTTTCTCTTGTTGGAAATATCAATAGGATCTGTGAATGTAACTAGGCATTAATTCACAGAATACAAATTGGAGACAGAGTCCTTATCATTCATTTTGCTAAAACTTCTGAATTATAATTGCAACAGGTGATCAAATTATCAAACAGTTTCAGGGAGCTAATTATAAACAGAAATTTACATCCATGTTACATTTCACATGGATACATATGTTTACAACCATCGTCTTATTGGAATTATAATGATAACTGTGCTCTCGTCTTATCCTAGAAAACTCCAAAACACTCTTAAACTCAGCCACTCAGGTGGTATTACTGCTTAAGCATTGGAGTGTGGTCACAAGTATTTCATCCTCATCGGGTTAGATATTGCTTATATCTGTCATTGAAATACAGCACAAAAATAGTGCAATAAAACTTGATTTAATTATCAAAACAACTTAACAGGTTTGTCAAAACTACACTTGACGAACACTGTGTAAGCGCCTGGATTGTGTTGAGCCATGTAAAGCAGAATCCCTAGATTCCCTGTGCTGATTTAAGTAGCATCAATTTATGTAGCAATTAAGTTGACTCTGAGACTCTTGGAGAAGGAAGGAATAATTCAGCTCAGGTTCCTGCTATCATCATCATGATGGATCTGGCTCAACTGTCATTACAGATTCCAGCATTGGCAGTTTTTACTATCTCTGTCATTACAGTTGCCAAGTTGTTCTTACTAAGTTAAATAGTGTACATGGTACACGGAATGATGTAGTTTTGAAAATATGTTTTCATTAATAAAAATTGTAAACACTGTATGGCCAAGTAATGTAAACAGTAGTGTGTTTGCCTCCCAGTCAGAAGGCATGGGTTCAAATCTAGATCTATCTGTTACTTAAACACCTATAATTTAATTTAGAGATGTTTCATAGCTTGAGGTGAGCTGGTGGTTGAAGAAGCAAGTATTTTATTTCAGGGATAAGAAAAATGGTGTTTCTGTGATGTTATTTCTGAATCATACCTCCTGCTAGTTGATCTCAATGGCATCAATGACAGTCATAAAGGAAGTCAACAATAACTACTGTTTCCTCCTACAGTAAAATGATGCAAGATGATAAATGGCCTCTCCAAGAGAAAATTAGAGGAAAAATAGCACTTAATGTGAAATAAATTCTGCTATTGCATGAACATTTTCTATGAGTATGTTGATAGTTTAATATAATTATTGTACAGTATGTAAAATATTAAATGCAGCACCACCAAGAAGGGACTCATTTGAATGGAGAGCAATTCCTGGCATCAGAGTTGCAGTCATCTTTTACCCTAGTTTCCTGTGACCGAAGCTCTCTGCTGGATTCATAGGATCGCAGAATGTACATTATACAACTAACTCACCTTTCGAACTGCACTGACCTGTGGTATTTCCTTGATGGTCTAAATGAAGAAAAATAAACCAAAATGAATTAATCATTTAATAGGACTTTATGTTGTAAAATGTATAATTCCTTTCAGAAATGTTATATCTGGAGCAATGTACAATGACCACTGCACAGAACAGGAATCTTTTTAAACATCACAGTTCTGAACAGAGCCTTCTAACAGCAGAAATAAGACAATTACATGCAAAATTGAACATTCAATGTATACATTCCCAATTATAATTTTGTTCATCAACAGCTGTATTTTACACTTCTCTTCACCTCTATGTAAAATGAAATGAATTTCGATCGTACTCATATGAGCTTAATAATATCCTCACCTTTTTCAGATTTATTTATGCCATAGTACTTGAGATATATGCAACATTTTGACTTAATTTTAACCATTACATAGAGGGATAATTTATGCAGCTCTAGTCAGGATGTCACACTCAAATGTCAGAAACACGCCTGTAACATTAGTGCCTTTGAAGTAAACCTACATTCTTTTTAAAAATGCATTCATCATTACTATAATTCCTTTCTTTCTTCTTAAGTATTAACTTGTACTGATAAGTGATTTGCTAGTTTCCAGTTGGCAGCTTGTTCTACTTATGTAGTTAAACTATTTGATTGCATTCTGGTTAGTAAATGGATATCATTAGTTAAAGTTGTTTGGAATGGAAATTTGGATTTGAGTACACAGACTGCTACAAGTACATGAGAATTGATCCAAATTCAAATTGTCATTAAGTATGTAAGTATCTTGTCCAATTATGGTATGAATAATTATTTCATTCTACATTTCAGGAGATCAACACAAAAAAGGGGAGATCATCATAGTTCCTGATAAGCATTATTATATATTCTTAAACAAAATATATTCAAAGTAATCAAATTTCTGCATTGACACTGACCTTTTGCTTAAATAGCTTTCCAAATGGACTTTGTGTTGGTGTCTTTTCTAGTTTTACTTTATCAACAGATTCTGCATCATTTGTCTTGGGTATCTCCTGATCTGCTGCTTTTTGTTCTGGTTTGTGGGATTTGGCTGCTGCTTCTTTCTGTTCAACATTTACTTTTCTCTGCAATAAAGAAATACTGTCACATTTGTACGTGATTACTCACTAAATCAAGCTGACTGATATAATCAAATCTCCCTTAACATACTTTTAATTAAATACTCTACTCCCATTTGTACAGTCAGCCCATTGAGTCTGCATTAGTCAAAAACAAGCACCTAACTAGTCTAATCCCATTTTCCAGCAGTCAGCCCAATTAATTTGTCAGTCTTTTGGTTAATACCTTTTCCGGCACATTTTCCCTGGTCATGGTGAATATTATAAGTTCCTTTTCCCTCCTTTCCACATCTCGATGTTTAAGCATCTTTGGGAAATTTTCCACATCTTCTACAGTGAAGATGGACTTGCGATACTTAAATATTTATTCAACTCACCTCCCCCCAACAACACTATTTCCTTCTTTTCCATTATCAATGCCTCAGACTCACTACAAAATGAATGCAAGCTTTGGTTACTCTTTTCCTTTTTAATTTTTGGAGCAACACTTACTATTTTTGTATTTCTGCCTAGTTTTCTAACAGCCTGCACTTCCTCCATTTTTTATTCATTCTTTACTGCTTCTGGCCAATATTATGATTACATTTAATGTTTGCAGAATTACATAGTGTTTCTTTAAATTTTATACTATCCTTAACTGCCTTATTGAGCCACAGATCCTGCGACCTTCTCTAAGAGATTTTCTTTCTGGCTGGTGTAAACATTTTCCTAAAAGTTATTAAATATCTCCTCCAAAGTCTGCCACTGCATTTCCAAGGTCCTATGTTTCAAACCAGTTTCCCAGTTTATTTTAGCTGGCTCTGCTTTCATCTTATAACGACCTTCATTCAGATTTAAAATGTTAATCAAAGACCCCTTCAAACTAAATATGAAATTCTATCATGTTATTTTTCTGTCACCCAGGTGCTCCTTTAGCATGAGTTTGTTGATCATCCTGGCACATTTATCATCACCACATCTAAAATAGTCTGTTCTCTATTTCTCTAGAATATTCTGTTATAAAAAATTGAGTGGAATAAGTATGAATTAATTTTCTAGAGTCTCTTTGCCAATCTGATTCACCCAATAAATCTACATGTGGATTAAAGTTATCTATGATTATTGCGGCATCTTTCTTATGTGCCCCCTTTATTTCTTCCTCTATACCCTGTCGTACACAGTATAACTACTAGTTATGGGTCTATACACCAGATCACAAGTAACCTCTTATCTTCCCTATTATTTTATCTCTACCCAAACTGACTCTACACCTTGGTCTTCTGAGCTCAGGTCATTGTTGCGGCTATTGCTTGTCAGTCTGCAAGCCACTGCTGCCACCCGTGCTGAGACGGTGCAGTACACAACCATGTTTTCTGAACTATAGCTGCTCAAGATCAGCTTGAGAGCTATTTGCAGTCTCCTCCATTGAATGCCAGCAGCCTTCCACCAGCCACATTGCAGCTTCTGCAACAGCACTATATAATAGGTACTGGTACACAGATGACAGACATCAAGGAAATGTAAAGGAGCGATTGAATTATTTTCCATATAACACCTTGTGATTTCATTTATAAATTTTTTTTGAAATGCTTATTTCTTTGGTGGCTTAACTTTTGCATGGTGGACAAGCAGATGCTTTGATAGGTCAGTGGCATAAGAAAGTAAGACTATTAGGATGTAAAGAACAGAGTTGTAGTGATTTATAATGCACTCAAGTTAGCTCTCCACAGATAGTGTGGACAGAAAGGCGCTCTGTTGTTTGTCTGCTGCTTCTCAATTTGTTCTTTGTCTTCTTCCTCTTTCTGCTTCTGCTCCTTAGTTGCTTACTTACTAGCTGGTGGCAAGATGATACATGGTATAAAGAAACAAAGAGGGGAAGGGGAAATAAGGAAGAGATTCACCTTGTCATCTGATAGCTGCGGTGAGTCAAGTTCTGTCCTGGAAGAAGACTTTGTTGGTGTGACCTATAATGAAAATTACAGATTACATATGGACAACTCCAATGTAATTGAGCAAAACATGATAAAGACAAGGATGGAAGCTTCAACAGCAGATGGACTGTGGCACGGACTGAAGTTGGTTACAGGGATGATAATATGTGGTCTTCATGATGGACAGAATAAGTGAAATAGAAATAATAAAGACAATACTGAGTTTGCAATGGCAACCATAAACTGATATTTCCAGGTTTCCCATTTCACCTTAAACAAACAGGCTTTCCTGCATCAAGTGACTCATGAGGCTGACAAACACTTGCTTATGTTTGTTCCCAAGGCCAGTCTTCCTTGGAACACATTAGCCAGGAAGAGTCCACTTCAAGCATGGTTAATCATGAAACTTTCCTGCTCTTACAGACAGCAATAGGCATATTGAAAGGGTCTGCAGGATCAATTTGTTTGACCATGTTACAAATGCACCTGCTGTGACCATCAAGTCCTTAAGTGGGACTTTAACTAGGAGATCTGGCTACACAACCACTGAATCACTCCTCAGCCTCCGCTCTTCCAAAGGCAGTAAACCAAGTTGAATCAATTTTTCCTCACAGTTAATGTTCTCCATTCCTGGCAACACCCTCCTAAATCTCCTCTGTACCCTCTCAAGATTTCTAAGCATAAATTTGGAAGTCTACCTTAAAAAAAATAGTAACAGAATAGAACTGAACTTGCATTGAAATTTATGCAGATTGTTCTTGGGATTCCTAAAATGATCTTACGTTCCTTATGCATCAGCAAGATGTTCCTGACCGCAGAAACAAACACAATAACCTGTCATCGCTTACTAGCGTTTTGAAGAAATTCATGACCGACTTATCGTCTGCAGATGTCTCTGCTTTATTATCCTTCTCAGATTCCTTGAGGTTTTCAGATGATTTTGAAGTTGAATTTTGAGATGCTTTGTTACCATATGGTGATGTTGGATGATCCTTGTTGTCGTCACCAGTTTCCTGAAATGTACAATTGAGAATAAATTTGAATTGTGTGGTACGAATTTATATATTTATAATTTACCAGGAGACATCCCAGGTAGTAGGTTTGTGGTATTATCACATTTACATCAGGCTGCTGCTTAGTTGTTACTTTTTAAAATTAGAATACAATTTGTATGCTAGTGCTTGTGGAACAAAATTTCACAAATCTGTTTGTTCTACTGTGAAAATTATAACTGATTTGCTTTGATAACTCAAGACATATTTTTACCTTGTATGGATTTTAAGGCTGAGAATATGAAGCAAGATAGTTGGTAAAATGCAGCAACTTCTTTTCGATTCATACGTGGGTCGAGGGCGTCATCAGTCAGGCCAGCATTTATTGCCCGTTCCCAATTGCCAGAAGTTAGTTAAGAGCCAACCACATTGCTGTGGGTCTGGAGTCACATGTAGGCCAGACCATGTCACATATAGGCGGTTTCCTTCCTTAAAAGATATTAGTGAACCAGATGGGTTTTTCCCCAACAATCAATAATGGATTCATGGTCATCAGTAGATTCTTAATTGCAGATGTTTATTGAATTCAAATTCCACTATTTGCCGTGGCAGTGTTCGAACCTGGGTCCCCAGAACATTACCTAGGTCTCAAGGTTAGCATTCAGTGATAATTCCACAAGGTCATTGCCTCTGATAGTTAATAATGCTGGCCACGGTTTAGTTATATATGGAGGTAATCTTGCACTCTGGTAGTGAGACAGACAGATTTGTGCGAAGAATTTGTAGCACGTCATGTAGCACTGCTTTGTAGTCTACATTGATTGGCCAGGAGCAAATATCATCATTGGTGGATGTGGAATCCCGTGGATTTTTAATTCATATCACTGAGGAAGTCTGCATGGGGGTGCTGTACAGGTAAGGGTCTGCAACACTGTCTGCTCCCAAAGAATTTATAGAAAACAACATTCTTCAAACACTTTTTTGCCCCTCCTATAGCTCTGGGGGATGGGAGCAGGGTAGGAAGTTAGTGGAATGGGACATATAGCTTTGGATTTTTCCCATAACTATGGGAGGACTGCTGGAATCTGGCAATATCAATTTGGGATTGCTGTGGAATGAGGAGCTGTGCTTTGACAAAGTAGGAGGCAGGAGTCATGTTTGGCTTGTCAGCAATACCTAATTTCACAGTTAAAGGAGGGTGAGTGCATGGCTCTGACCACACAGATTGAGGGGAATTGAATGTACCTGAGAAATTGTTTCCTACTTTTTGAAGGACTTGTATAAACAATCAATACGGTATTTTGTGATTATTTCTGGGACAGTTTTCTCTGTCTCACATATAAGTACAGCTGAAAGAAAATCAATCTAACTACTGCCAACAGTCAAAACATAAGTAGCAATTAAAGCATTTCAAAATCTACTATTTTTAAGCTGGTGAGAAAGTTAACTGAAGAAAGAAATTCTAAGGCAGGTTCCCAGTGTCCCTCTCTGTTGAGCCGGAAGGAGATTATACCTTAAGGAAAATGGAACTTCAACACTCAGTCAACAGTTGTGTCACAAGTTTGGTGAGTGCATTGAATTCTGGGTAGCCGGAATTACTCCAGGAATAGGAAGAACCTGCGTAAATGAGAGTCACAAAGAATACCAAGATGCAAAGTGTATGCTATGCTCTACGGACTGGTACCATCTTTGTACAGTTATAGAGTTAGAGAAACATACTCTTTGGTCCCACTTGTCCATGCAGACCAGATATTCTAAATTAATCTAGTTCCACTTGCCAGCATTTGGCCCATATCCCTCTAAACCCTTCCTATTTATATCTTGTACAGATGCCTTTTAAATGTTGTAATTGTACCAGTCTCCACTACTTCCTCTGGCAGTTCATTCCCTACACACACCAGCCTCTGTGTGAAAAAGTTGCCCCTTAGGTCCCTTTTAAATCTTTCCCCTCTCACCTTAAATCCATGCCCTATAGTTTTGGACTCCCCTGTCCTGGGGAAAAAACCTTGGCTATTCACCCTATCCATGCCCCTCATGATTTTACAAACTTCTATAAGCCTCAGATGTTCCAGGGAAAATAGCTCCAGCCTATTCAGCCTCTCCCTATAGCTCAAACCCTCCAAATGTGGCAACATTCTTGTAAATCTTTTGTGAACCCTTTCAAGTTTAACAACATCATTCCTATATCAGGGAGACCAGAGTTGAACACAATATTCCAAAAGTGGCCTAACCAATGTCCTGTACAGCTGCAACATGATCTCCCATTTCCTGTACTCGATGCACTGGCCAATAAAGGTAAGCGTACCAAATGCCTTCTTCACTATCCTGTCTATCTGTGACTCCACTTTGAAGCAACTATGAACTTGCACTCCAAGGTCTCGTTGTTTGGCTACATTCCCCAGGACCTTACCATTAAGAGTTTTAGTCCTGCACTGATTTCCCCTACTAAAATGCAGTCCCTCACATTTATTTAAGTTAAACTCCATCTTCTCCAACCTTAACAGCCCATTGAAAGATAAGGCCAAGTTTCTGGATCATTTTTGTTGTGTCAAGAGCAGCATTTGTGGCCCTATAAAATTCCATTCATCACAGCACATGACAGTCCCTTTAACTACTCCAGGTCAGCTGGGAAATGCAAAGGTGGCTTGAATATTCCAGCTTTCCCAAACCAAGAGGCTTGTTTTGGGTGTGTGAGCAGTCCACTTATAAAATCCAAAAAAAGGCTAAGCCAGAAGAACAGCTGGTGCGCTCCAACTTCTTTGCCAATCTCACTGATGTAAGCAATCATTTCAATGCTCTGAGTATAATTCAGGGTCTGCTGAACCTAATTTAAAGTACCCTCCATCTGACAGAAATCAGAATATGAGGTGCAGCTAAAATGAGGGGAAGAATTTATTCTTTTCGACACTACTATTCCACCCACTTGAAATAGAACAGTTCCTACTATCTCTGAAATAGAACCTACTCTTTTGAGCAGGTGAGCAGGACACTGGATCCTAGCAGGTAGGGAGTTTATAGACTGAGATGTTATCAGGACCTGCACTGCCTAAGTATGTAGATAGTGATGGCCAAAGCTGTTGGGAGGCGGATCAAGGGTCAAATGCCGTAGGTTTTTAATTGTTTTATTTAGGTTTCCTTTTAGGATGGGCTTGTAATCTTCACTGCCTCACCGAGAACCTGGGGAAAATACAGTGAATCCCTTTGCACGCTCAGCAACACTCCACCTGTTGTTCTGATCATTAACATAGCAGAGCCTGCAGATTGAACCTGAGATTCTTTAGTCATTCATACATCACTATCACATCAGGAAGGCTATGGCCTAGTGGTATTATCACTTGACCATTAATCCAGAAACCCTGGTTTCTGAGGACCCCCACCATGGCACATGATGGGATTTGAATTCAATTAAAAGTCTGGGATTAAAAGTCCAATGGCCATCATGAAACCATCATTGCTTGTCAGAAAATCTTATCTCATTCACCCATCTCCTTTAGGGAAGGAAATCGGCCATCCTTACCCAGTCTGACCTACGTGTGACTCACAGAGTCATAGAGGTCTACAGCTTGAAAACAGACCCTTCGCCCAACTTTCCCATGCCGTCCAGTTTCCACAATTTAAACCAATCCCCATTTGCCTGCATTTGATCCATATCCCTTCATACCAATCCCAACCGTGTACCTGTCTAAACGTTTTTTAAAGAGAAGATTGTACTCGCTTCCACCACTACCCAGTAGCCCAATCCAGACACGCACCACGCTCTGTGTGAAACAGTTGCCCCTCTGGACCCTTTTGTTCCTCTCTCATCTCACTTTAAACCTATGTCCTCTAGGCCCACAACAATGTAATTGACTCTCAACTGCCCTCTGGGCAAATTTGATATAAAGAAAAGTACTGGCCTGGCCAGTGGTATCCATGTACCGTGAATGAATAAATAAAAAGACTCTCTACCTATCACTAGACAAATGGAAAAGTAATTTTAATCTATTTAATGCAAAAATGTACCTGCTTTGAGATTCTGCCAAAGACTATTCTATAATAAATGAGCTTGCAACTGGTACTTTACATTCCAGAACCAAGCAAATTATACTTAAGAAGTTATTACCAAGAAGCTTGTCAAAACCAATTTAAAGTCAGGTGAACGTAAAGAACAGGAGTATTTCACTTGGTTCCACAGACATACCTGGGCCCATTACTGGCCTATGCTCAATGCTCTCTCTATTCAACACAAACCCAAGTGGCAGCATGGAGGCCGGATGATTGTCAAACTCCAGCAGGGGATCTGTAAATTGTCAGTGGCATTCAAGTGTTGTAAAAAAGCTGAAAATGGCTTGCGATTCATGGCAACAGGCTTAGTCAGATAACAGATTCCAGTTCCATCATCTGGAATTCTAAAGATCCAAAATCAGCTCTCAAATAACGGAAACCAAAAACTCAAAGCATGTCAGCTGGACTGCTTCTGGTATATCTCACCCTGACCCGTAAGGTGCTAGCATCTGTCCAATGTCAGCCTGCTGATCCCTCCACAATCTTGTTATCATGTCAGCACATCTCTTCCAACTGTCACCAGAGGCTACCCTGAGAGAACAAGAGTAGCAAAGAGGAAGAGAGTTAAGGAGGAGAAATCAAGGACCCCTTCACTCCATGTGGGCTGTTCAGAAGCAAATACTCAGACTCTCGTTTCCATCAAAATCTCATTCTCCAAGTTGTTCCACAATTTCCCAACTATCAATTTGTCTCCCATATCCCATCACAGCATCCTCCAGTCTAAGTACTGAAATTAAAGTTGAATAATAATCACTTGGTAACACAGAACTTCAACATCACGAAAAAGTGACTGGATGCTCGCAACTGTTCATCTTGGAAATAAGGATTGAAACGCAAGAAACCTAATTTAGAAAAGAAGTGACAACAGATACTGTGAGGAAAGAGGGTGCTGACTGGTTGGACTATGGTTGGCCTGGAGATACAGCCAGAATTGTTAGCTGTTATATTAACTAGTAAAATTCAAAACAGGCAAGTCA